GTGTCTTATTGTTTTTGTTGTGTCTAAAGTCTTTTTGTCTTACTGTTTTGTTCTGTCTCATTGTTCTGTTGTTTCTTATTGTTTTTGTTGTCTTATGTTTTGTTGTGTCTTATTGTTTTGTGTCTTATTGTAGGACCACTGCCACCGGGTAAAAACCCATTTGCAGTCAAATAAATAATAATAATTTCATGATTGGCTTGGCTTTCATTCAAGTAATTGCAGCTATATGTCATGAATGCCAATTGTTCCCTTTAACTATTTCAGCTGTCTAAAATGCTTATGAATACTAAATTTTTCTACCTGTGATTTCATTTATAAAATGGTTCAGTATGTGTAATGACATTCCTGATAGATTGATTTAAATGAAATGCTCTTTTTAAAGGAACTTCTCAGAAACTTTCTTATGATGATCATGAGTGCGGTGATACTGATAAAATTGGTTTACATACGTTTAGTTATAAAAGCTGTGGAAGTTCTTCTGCAGTGTCAGGAAAAAACATTTGTAAAGCTCAGATTTCAGTTTCTCAAAGTGATGGGTATGAAGATGACTGTCTTCTGGCATCCTACACCATGTGGTCTGGTATAAACTGCTTGATGTTTCAGATGTGCTTTCTGCTTCCACCATCAGGGCATCCCCCTGATAGTGGCGAAAGTAAGCAACTCTGAAACTTCAGTAACTTTCTACCAAACAGCACTGCACAATATCCAAGACGACAGCCATCTTCACATTTGTAGAGTTTGTTATTTTGTGTTAAGGTTGTAAGGTGGTTAGGGTTGAAGATGTTGGATTGTGGTGTACATTGTTACCGATCGAGCTTCTCGTGTAGGCTGCTACTTTGGTTTGATACTAACTGTTACCGCCATATCGCTTTTATTATAGGTTCATAGCTGTGGTGCCATGCCAACCGATCTGTGTGTTGATTATCAGTTGGTAGCCGTGTTGTACGGAAAGGATATGGCGGATAAGCAGTTGAACGTTAAACCGGCTGAGAAAGGAGCTGTTGAAGCATATTCAAAAAGGAGAGCAGCATTGCGTGAGGAATATATTAAGCAGATGACAAATCCTCATAGGCATGGAACAGGAGAAGGTGGAATGTTAGTAAGGAAAATCTGACGTGCCATATTTAATTTTTATGAGACATAGGTCATTGTGATAATTTTTCTTTCGTTTAGGATAGAAGTACAGGTCGCCTTCACGGAATGTGTTGGTTGTCATAAATCCATATTCAGTCACATTTTGTATTATGTAACTCTAAATCTACCTGTTTGTATTGGTTACCTGATCGTGTTACATGGAAGCATACCAAAGAACTTTTGAGTTATAACGGGATGTAGAATCATAGCTGTACTTAATTGTGTTGTTATGGGACAGTGAGATGTATTCAGACTTACAGATTCAAGCTCGTGTGTTTTACTATTCTCAAAACGTGCCTTAGCTTAAGATTATTTTTGATGGATTGTAATAGTTGGAATAGGCGACCTAAAGTTTATAAAGAGTAGAGTAGAGTTCATTTACATTCCACAGATCCTTCTTAGGACTCAACCAAAGGATGTAGAACATGTCATTTCATACAATATACATACACTTCAGAACTTTCAACACAAGTACAAGAACATATTTCACATATCAATGTACATAAATTTCAGATTCTGCAATACAAGTATGAAAAATAATTTTACAAATTAATATACATAAACCTCAGAATTTTAAATATAAATACAAAACTTGCTTTACATATACGTAGATTATGGATATAAAGCTTAAACATTTTCAGCAGAGATGAAATCATCTACAGAATAGAAGGAGTGAGTAAAGAGGTAATCTTTCAATGCAGGCTTGAATACCTTTATATCATAATTTAGACTTTTAATTGTTGGTGGAAGATTATTAAACAACTTGATACCTGTATAGTACACTCCTTTCTGATATTTAGTAAACTTAGCATTTGGCACATATAGATCATGTTTACGTCTTGTATTTAAATTATGTACATCTGTATTTCTTTTAAATTTATCCATGTTTTCCACCACAAATGATAGCAAGCAGAGTATAAATTCACTTGCAAGTGGAAGTATATTAAATTTACGAAATAATTTTCTACAAGATACCCTGCTTTTGACACCGGCCATTATTCTAATTATT